TGACTTTAACGTGCTGTGATTAAGCTTACAACGTGGTTTGAAGGTATTGTTTTAAGAACGGTCTTACCATGAATGTGTATTTAAATGGGGGATAGTACACAAGAAAAATATATTTTTTTATCTTTATTTTTTTAATATGATATTCGATCGCCTAACATATAGTCATACTCATACATATATAATGCTATTTGTACTTTTTTATATTTATTGAGCACTTATGAGCGTAATGCCTGGGATTCAGAAAATAGTTTCTGGCAAATTTATAAAAGACGAAACTTTAATCGATAGGTGCAAGATTTAGTTTCATAAAACCCCTGATTGGGCACGAAGCACGGCATTATGGCTTTTTGTAACAATGCACAAAATGACAGTGACGTAGGGCGCTTAAATACTGTGACCTTCCTAGGGTTAAAGATAATGAATACAATGCGCACATAAACACACAAATTGACAGGTGAAACTGATTAATATTAATAGCATATTGCCGACGAGGTGCCTGTTTTTACCTGATAGCATTTGTAAAATGAACATGGCGTCAGATACTTAATGACCCTTTTGTATCTTTTAAGTCATTGCTTCATAGAGGATGAAGTATTGTCGATAGACGTTGGCTCTTATGGAAATAGCTAATAATGTTTAATGCCATCAGTTATTTACCACAACCCAAGAAATAAATACTATTCAATTTTTTTTCTTCACAGGCATACAAAATATTATGTCTACTTATGATGTTAAAATTAGCAACAGATGCTGAAAACTAAAGTAAATGATTACTTTTACACTCTTATACAAATAAAATTGTGAAAATGACAACTTTTGGGGAATAGTATTCAAAAGTATTCATCATCATATATATAGCATTAAATTATTACAAAAAATATATCAAATAGGGCACTTGCACATGTAATAGCGGTTTCTGCTTTAAGCCTTATTAAACTGTATTTTTTAAAAACATTGAAATTTAATGTGAAGTAACACGATTAGATATTTCTTTGTACTTCGGTTGTGAAAACTGTGTACTTTTTTTTCAAACAGTGACCTAGGTAACGGGCATGGTTTGTTACTTCAACATACATAAAAAAATGCATAAAAAAGTCACTAAAATATACATGGTAAAACCCAAATCCTTATGATCTCGTTTCAATCAGGTTTAAGCATAGCACGGCGTCTGCAAGATAATCCGGATCAATCATTCAGCATGTTTTAATCTTTGGAAGCTTTAAAGGGATGATCCCATCTGCCACATGGTGGGGATGATTAAGCTCCTTCCTGACCGTTTTGACGTCCGCGTACATCACAGGTGGAGTCAAAGGACGCTGTCAGGATGAAACACGAGACTTTTAGGCGTCAGTGAAAAACCGCCTGCCGATACCCTGTGGTGAAGAAATCAGAAAGAACTACTTGCTGGCAGGATGCTTTGACAGTTAACCTAATATGGCCTACGAACGTCTAATATACGCATGTTTATATCACTTAATGACTTATTCAGATTCGAATGCTCCACGTACCAATGGGGACGACTCTAAATAATATTTTTGTTTACATGCAACAATAATTATTGTAATATTTACGTTAACAACACCAGTAGTTTTTCTGTAGTTCCTTAGAAACCCGCCATGAGGCCCATGATTGCTGTAGACAGTTGGTTTGCAGACACCGGCCTATCTGCATACCAAATGCCAACTTCTTCTGTAATACCGTCCACAAATAACGATGCCTACCCGCAAACCCTAAACCTCACCAACAAATTTCACCGAAGAAAAAACCCTTTTGGAAAATTTAAGAAAGTCTACAAAAATCCCTGTAGATACGAAAAAATCATAAATAGGAAAGCATTATGCAGTTAGGGGTCTTAACAGACGAATTCACCATATGCGGTAAATTGAAGACATTTAATCTCAGCATGTTTGTAGGGACCATTATTTGATCCCATTACCAGATTGACCTTCCATAGAAGTTCAGGGAAATATAGACCAGTAGGACATGTTTACTGTAAGAGTGATGGTGTTATCCCGATGTAATGCTGGTGGAATGTTTAGAGATGAACGCTCGTCTCAGAAAAAATAGCACAAAATGGCCTTGTGGCCAGAATATCGTCGTTGATCTTATGATATATACATTTCTGAGGTGGCGGAATTATATATATATTTACAATTGCATATACATTTCTGAGGTGGCTGATTTATACAATTGCATAATTTTTACACATTTCTGAGGTGGCGGATTTATACAATTGTATATGCATTTCTAAGGTGGTGGATATATACAATTCCATATACATTTCTGAGGTGGTGGATTTATACAATACCATATACATTTCTGAGGTGGCAGATATATACAATTGCATATACATTTCTAAAGGTGGCTGCTTCGAGGGAGGACATTTTAAAAATATTTTAAAATCATTAGTGGGACTTCTCAGGGAATAAGAAATGTTCCAAGATGCGTAGACACAATGTGTTTACCTTGTGTATGATAATAAGAGGGAAACAGACAATTTTCTTCATCGATGATGAAGACAGAAATCTTTTGACCAAACTCATTGATTGTCCTAATACTTTTCCCAGTTGGCTACTTTCACGCCAAATCAAAGCTTTTCTTCCACATTCTGCACTGCTTGTCTCAGCTAAATCAGTAGGTGGATTTCCTGTGTATGATCGAGAGCAGTGCGATTTTGTAAAAGGTTTATCCACAGGCTACAGAGAGAATGTTTCGACCTGTGTCTATTTTGGCCCCTTCATCCAGGTCCTTGATGGTGTAAGTTATGATTCCCTCAAAGAGTTCTGGGTCTCCACGTAACAACTTTTAATTATTAAAAGTCTCAAACCATTAAAGCCTCTGTTACCATATTCAAGGATGTCATGAAACAAGACAGCGGCCTTGTTTCTTTTAGTGACACAGGAAATCATTGATGAATATATAATGTAATTTCATGTTCTGAAAAATTGATACCTGCCGGTGTCCTTGGATACCTAAAAGAAAGTCCGTGTGGTTGATTAAAAGACAGAGATACCAGGCTGGGATTGTCTACCGTTCTGTCATTGTTTCTATAGATATACATGTACCTGGGTGGTCATACAAGCCGATAAAAGGTATCTGTTTCTTACACTCACACCTGGTTATTAATTCAACGTTTTCTGCAAAATACAATTATACTATAAACTTCAGTGTGTACACAGTTAGGTTTTTATCCCCAAGAGATTGATGTAAAGTATTGTCTTTAAGTTGCGTTTGTCATTCTCTATGTTTGTTTGTGGCCTCCATTGTTAGGATCGGATGTAATGTATTGTCTACCTCATGTGGTTGCAATGTTTATTTCATGAAAACTATGGATACAGGCATGTACATGTACATGTTTGCAGCAAGGACATCTGTGCGCTTCAGTATATGTATATGACAGTCGATATCATGTAAGATACGAAAATATCAGCCATACAGCAAGTCTTTGGTTCTGTTTCTAACAATGATCTAGCTTTAATTTCCTGGTCTATAAAATCAGGGTAAACACAAACAACTTGATTTTCCTCGTGCAAGAGAAGGTTATTTGAAATTCAAAACTATACAACATATTTTTTGTCTCATAAAACATGTTGCTAGATTAACAAGTATATAATGTTCATAAAGAAGGGAAGTTCTCCTAGCTCTTTCAAAGTACATGTATAGCGTTCTTTAAGATATACAACAAAATCTCTTTGATATGCGCAAAGGACAATACTGTACATACAGTGAAACATTTTATCCATCATCATATACCTTTTCCCCTAAAATGCATGCCAAATCTTTACTCAACGTCATTATCATTTATTACTTACATAAGATAAAACTTTGCTACCATATGATCATCGCTTATTCCATGTTTCCCCTAGTACATTAATAAGAGAGACCTGTCCATCAGGGAAAATAGAGGGTTATGTACAAAATTATATTTTAAACCTCATCGATACTAAGTTAGCTCTGCTACCTGTACATTTTACATTACATAACGTAATGCGTCACATACATTTTATAAATTATTTTTGTCCCTTTAACAGTTTTTCTTTTTCAGTCACTAACATGCATGTAACATGCGACTGCTCTATATTCAACTGGCTTACTACTAAGTATCACGCCTCCATACTTACCGACAGCTGTAAAACATATTATTAAGAAACACTACTTCTATGAATTTCTGTGTCGTTGTCCACGTACAATTTCATTCAACCTGCTGTATATAGTGATTAGTGCGTTTGACCAGCGACCATATTCACTCAGCTCTTACAACGTTAAACGCCTGTCAGAGTAAGTGTCCCTACATTCTGCCTGGGGGCTATCTTCTGTTCTACCGTACAAGGTAGGTTTAGCAGATAAACCGATGCCATACTGATGGTTAGACTCTGCCATATTGATATTATTCAGGCTAGAGTATTGTTGACAAGAACTGCTCCATGATTTGTTTGCTAATTGCCCTCTAGTGCCTGTCGTTTCTTGTATTAAATCATTAGCGTGGAACGGAAGATTCAGATAATCATCAACCATTGTGTACGATGGATTGTTAAACAGGCAAGTAATTTCTGGCATCGTGTCTGTAGTTTCTAAAGAGTCTACATTTTGAGGAGGCGTGTTTTGAAAATGCCCATTTTGATGTTTGGAAATGTGCTTCCGTATTACTACTGCCAGAACGAGAAGAAAAATAGGAACAGATGTAATAATGATTGCTATTGTGGGTGCTTTAGGGAAACTAGCGATTCGTTGTCCACTGCCAATTCCTGGCTCAAAAGTAACCGGTTCATATTCTTTTGTTTCGGTCGACAAAAGCAGTACAGTCGACGATCTGGTTTGAGCTGTATTTAAAATAACTATGTGGGTGGCATCTTTTACATTATATTTCATGGTCGTTGTTTTCTGTTCGCTGAGGCAAGCGTGTAGGTTAGCCTTGTGTAATGGAACGCCCTTCAGGTATTCAGGGCTGCTGCATTTTGGTACACCTACAAGAGCAAATTCAACAAAGAACGCGTCGTTCTTTACATCAGGAGCACCGGTACACCTGGAAAACCAACACAGTGAAAAAGCAAGGGCTCTATCTGCCAACCAGGACAGACGGCAATCACAGTGTAGTGGATTCCCTCGAATATACCTTCGCCCTCCCCACTGAGAACTCGGAGAAGATATGCCTAGGTCTGCCTCTGAGATCGTTGTCAGCTTGTTGTAGGCTACATGTAACCAAAAGGAAGTTCTCGGGCCACTTGCATTGACAGCAAGATCAAGGTTTACAGAAGTCAGCTGATTAAACGACAAGTCAATGAAATTAAGATATTTCATATCCTTTAGAGATTCCCATGGGAATGATGTAATGAGATTGTGACTGAGATTTAGTGTGTTGACGAACGCAAGACCAGATAAGTCCTCGATTGTTTGGATTTGGTTATGTGGAAGGTTAACCTTGATAACGAGGTGTGGCATATGAGCTGGTAGACTTGTTATGTTAGAGTTCGGGCAGTCAATCTCTGTGATGTGCCCCTTCCTAACGTAACATCGGGATGGAAATAAACTGCTCGAGTTTTTACTTGTTGTTACTTGCATAACAATAATCAACACAAAACATCTCATCATCATCGTTGAAGTTAAGGGATGACGTAAATTATGTAATATCGACGAAAATTACGACTAACCCTATGAGTCAATACCACCTATTTTGGTACAACCTTTTTTGCTCTAGACAAACGATTTTAAGGTTGATAATATGGTGTGTTGCTCTGATGTTGATCTGCACGATGGCACCAACGTACAACACGTACAACCTGCAGTAACATAATTTACACAGACAATAAGTCATGACAGAGGTTTCAACTATTGGTCCTTCAAACAAATGATAACAGCATATGTCCAGTTAACGTCCATTCAGCGAATACGCACACACACACACACACACACACACACACACACACACACACACACATATATATGTACACACACAAACACACACACACATATATATATGTACACACACACACACACACACACACACACACATATATATATATATATATATGTGTGTGTGTGTGTGTGTGTGTGTGTGTGTGTGCGTATGTGTGTGTGCAACGTCAATGGTATCGAAAACAGCCTATAACCCCGAAGGGCAAAGTAAATGCGATTTGCACAATCAATGATTACTGAACTACAAATAAGATACATCACTTTTATGTTTCAGGCACCCCGAGACTCGTGAATGTACATGTGGGTGAAATGTATGGGGAAATAATTGCAATAATATGATAATGAACAAAAAAAAATGAAAACTTACCAACTGCTATCAGCCACAACCAGACGAGTAAGGCTGAAGATGTTTCTCACTGAAGCTGGGTGTGAGGTCTTTGTCGCGTGGTCAGTATACAGCATGCAGATTGTTTTCTTAACTTCCTGTAAAAAAAATCAGTTTTTTTAGAACTTAGCAAGCGAGCAAGTGGCTGGGTGCACAAAGGTTACTACTGGTTCCTAAGAATAACAGACAAAAATTCAAGAGCTTAATATATAATGCAAACAACTTTTACCACTAAGATACACCAAAACAAAGAGTTAATCTTCGTCGTCTTTTACAGAATGTTTCCCATCACTCACAGGATGTGAAGATACTTAATAAGTTTATTTAAGAAGCCAGTAACATACCTCAGCGAATAAGGTTTGTCGTCTTGACACCACTCCGAAATTCTCTCTGCCTTAACTCTTGGACAGTACTTCTGGTATAAAGAAAAAAGGTCGACTTCTCTTAATAATTAAGGTCGTGGCCTTTGGTCATTGGCTAGTTCCTTTCGACCAATGGCACAACTTCCTCAAGCTTGACAGGACACTGCATCCAAGGATGACCATGAAATCACATGGCAGACCAGAATGTTGGACATGTTGCTCAGATAGACAGCTGCCCGTCCTTGCACAGTTAATTGTTTGGGCAAAATTACAGTATAGAGTCATATGACATCTCGCGACGTCACTATGATAGTTTAAAAATATATTCATATATAGTTTCCTGTTTTCCTGTGACTGCCAGTTTAATACACTATACAACCGTTAACTCAAAGTGGCAATATATTCTTCTATAACTTTATCTATGGAAATTTTAGATTTATAGAGTCATATGACATCTTGCGACGTCACTGTGATAGTTTGAAATATATTCATATATAATTTCATGTTTTCGCTAGAGCGACCTATATAGCTAACAATTACCAACACACGGTTGTTATCCTTGAAAGCACCGATTTGTCCATTGGTTTCTGACTGTCAGTTTTTTAATACACTATACAACGTCGTTAATTTAAGGTGCCAATAGGTTCTTCTGTTACGTTATCGGTGGAAATTTTAGAGAAAACTGTTTCTTTCGTTTTCATATTTGGAACATAATTATTTCTTGCTCCTGCATTCCACGTGCCCGAATATGATACATGTATTCATGCAATTTTGAGGCTGAAAATTTGTCTGACCTTCCTTACGATTGTTTTTTTGTGCGTGACGAAAGCAACATATTGCAAGGACATCATGTTTTGATATTTTAAAGGGTACCCGATGGGATTGTGATTTTCAATGTTGCGAAAGTTCTGCCACGAACTGTCTGATTAATATTTCACAGTTTCATCAATTGTCTCTTGTGATTGTCTATCCTCTTGTTGGCACTCTTCTAATGTCTACAGCGTCCTTCAGGAAGCAGCAGTGATGAAAAATTGTTGGATATCAATCCATATGCACCATACCATGCATTGTAGCATTGTGAGTCAAAGAAGTGGCGACAATATCGTAGGCTATGTTTTTATTTTATATTCCAACATGTAATCACAAGACGTGGTGAGGACACACTCAAGTTTTTTCAACTTATATTAATCATAAATGTCACCACCAGCACAGGAGACAATACAATGTTCATTTTTACCTGAGCGAAGTGAGTTTGTAAGCGAGCGTGTAAAGTGCCTTTCCCAAGAGCACAAGATCGGTGGCATGACAGGACTCGAACCCGGGACCTCTTGGTTCCGAGTCGAGCACTCTGTCTAGCTATATGCTATGTTTACATTTGGAACTCTGATTTAAGTTATAAAATGAGTCAGCCCACGGAATCGGTATATTGAAAACGAGAAAAAATACAGACAAATACTTACCCTTGCATCCTGCATTTTGGACTAATCGATGTCCTGGTAAAATGTGGTGTCCTTTATATTTTGCAAAAGTACTGCCTGAAATTTGTTCCATGCGCCTGAGGCTATGGCATTACCCACTCGCGACACAAACATAAGGAAGTGTTTCTATAACAATATACAGTTGGATTTTGTACGGCAGATTCGCTCAGTTTCCCAAAAACACATCTAAAGTATGCACCATGACAGGGTCATCCTCAAAGCAAGAGACTTTGGTAGCAATTCCTACTGTAATGTTTCTACATCTATCTGCTAGGGACCCCCATGCCAGGTGCATGTCAGGACATGGTGTATGAATCCCCAAAACCCTTACACACTTACTTGGGTCAGGTCATTTTCGTAGAGCCGAAAGACACGTACTTCCCTCGTTGTCATCGATTTTGGACGACAACTAAACTCCAGAAGTCACCTCAGTGTGCGTGCATGTAGTAAATTCGGGTTACGTTTGACTTCAGCTACCCTGTGGTGTGGTGATTTTACGCAGTAACGTTACTGTAAAACACGAACCGTGCATAAAATGCATTTATTGTCTATATCTATGTGTCCTAGCTACAGTGTCCTAGCTACATATGATAGCGGACAATGCGGTATATTGTCACGTATTGTAACCTTTGCTACAACGCAATTTCTATGCAGCTGAGAAACCTCCTATTGTAACAACTCCTGTATATGCTTACGACAGTTAGCAGGCTGGGGAAAAGACGCCTCTTGCGGCCATTCTGCTCACTACAGACTCACAACTACGGCATTACCTAATTGTTAAGGATCTGTTGAGCTAACTGTTCATCTTCTTGGCTTGGCTTCGTTTCCGAAGATTTCAAATATATATCTAAGTTTTCATATCTAACTCTGTTCATACAACAAGTGAAATATACAAACAGGTGCTCAACGTGTAATTCCTTTTATCCCAAGTGCATGATGAACGGTGAGCCCTCGTCAGACGTATGCACACTTTAAAGAAAAACGTTTATATTGCTAGTCTCTTCCAGACTAACTACACAGGCTATATATAGGAGAATATTTGCCAGGGGAGTTTGACCGCCTTGGGGTTTGACCGGCCGCGCAGGAGGGAAAGAAACAACCTTCCGCGGCCGGACTCCCCTGGCCAATTTTACTCTCCTTTTTGCCGAATTCTGCGTATACGATCCGTATACGATCCCATAGAAAGGCCTGGTGGAGGCTATACATTGTCGTGGGAAGTAGTTTTCCTCAGTCTTTTTGGAAAAGGGATACATCTGTTTTTGCTGGGGAAAGTACAATTGCGACATACTACACTTTAAATTCGTATATTCTATCGAGGGAAAAATTGGGTCTGAAAAGGGCATGCTTCAATTCAGAAGATTACCATGTACTAAATGAAATTAAAAACTTTGTCACTGTGTCACTCAAGTCACCATAATGCGATTATGTCGGTGGAAAGTCCAACCTTACCATATGGGCGGAAATCCTATTTACGTAAGCCAACGTACGTCTATACATCGGGTATAAGCCCATGTTGAACATTCAATCATAAGGTTAGAATAACATGACGTGTTGTTTGAACAAGAGCCTAATTCTATAATGTGATTATAAATGTTAACGTACGGTGAGAAATTCTTTACTAATTAAACATAGAATTTTCTAATAAGGCCAGCGGACCCTACACATTAATTTTTCATTATTTCCAACAGTGTTTATCGCTAATGAAAATTTGAAAACCATGTATATATCAACACAAACAACACCAGAATATTTGTTTCTATCAAATGTATCTACAACACCAACATGAACACTGCTGACCTGTTCCCAACCACCAGCCAACCATGTCCCAACCAGCAACATTTGCTTTAGGTTAAAAAAAGAATCTAACTTCAGTAGAAGTTACTATAGTTTGAATCATAACTTGCTATATTCAGAATGTCTCAATGTCCTTGGTTCCCATTCCATGTAACATAAATTTAAGACTCCTACTGTATAATGTGCATGCTGTCACAACACAAGCTTCTAGCAAAAGGTATGTTAATCTAATTTTGCATCGAGCGCCATTGAAGGCAAAACTAAGCCAGCCAAATAACTCTAACGCTGCTTTAAAGCCAGGATTGAGGTGGATTTTCTCTACGCACATTGGAGCCCGTAACTTTAAACAAAACCTGATATGGGGGGATTTATTTTAGGAAAAGGAAAGACATAGATCTATATTCGGTGAACAGACGTCATGAGTTGAGTGCAAATTGTGCATACCATGTACCAAAGCATGTACCCACAGACTGTATATTTTTGTTTGACGATCTGTTACACGTAGACCTGCGATAAAATTAACATATTAATTACAAAGAGATTGCAGGAGCCCACCATAAGCATTAAATTGTACTTTTTGTGACTATCTACTTTTGATACGCCGGCACAAGTCGCTACATGGTGGATAGGATCAAATAAGATACGAAGGTGTTTGAAGGAGAAAATTTACGACTGCAAAGGGCATAAAACCACGGTGCAGTTTGTAATTGCAAGAGGGCTATCAATATTCCTAACCGGGTCATGGCTTTGTGAACTAGTTTCACGATGTTGGACATACTTAGTTTGCTCCGTGCTGGATTCAAACGTGACACATAATAATTTTACATGCTGCTTCCTGTAGAATTTACGACCTTGATCGTAGCGTTATGCAACCAAGTTCAAAGTACAGAAAAGTAATTTACAACTGCTATATACAAACCGTATAATACACCAGGACTTTAGGAATTTAGCAGAACCATGTGCACAGCAAAGCACAACACATGTAGTGTTCTGAAGTTCTAAAATAGGATTTTTTTTTCTAAATACAAGGAAACAACTATATTATGCAACAACGTGTTTTTGCAACAAGTCAACAAAGATAACTGATTGGATCATGGCTGGTCTTGTTCTTATCAAAATACATATGGTATGGAAAGAAATGTAATGCTCTCCACATAACAGAAATATTAATCAAATACACTGATATCATCAAACAGATGTTGCGTGAAAAATATCTGGATAGCAAGTGTATCCGTGGATTGCGATGTGCGCTTTGAAAAGCGCCCATAACTAAATACGTTTGCACGAAACAAGATTGCACAGAAGGCGAAGATGCATCAGTTGCTACTTGATAACGACTCACGGTCCCAAGAAGTCTGAGCCTTAGAAGCCGGTGACTAATCTTATATCCATTATACATGGCACTGTCCATTTCAACTCGATTAGGAACTTTGGACCATAAATTGTTAACGACGTTCTAAGTGTACTTCTAATTCCTTCGATCTATAAATGGCTTTATAATATGAAATTGCAACATTTTTCAGTTTCACTACAACTTGCAAAAATACACGTATATCCATGAGTTGACATCTCTGATACTAATACTCTAGGATCTAAATTTTTGAGGTCTAATGCGATTTGGGGCTGGCAACGTCGAAAGTATTAAGAGATTTGGATGGCTTAGAGGCAAAATCTTCTTTGGCTGTTATAAAGTAGCTGCTCTTACGTGTTTTTGTGACCTAGCAGCCTAAGACATGAAAGCACAATCTTCTAAGGAATAATTGAGTCTCAGCGTGGCAAATTCTTTTTCGGATGACTAATGTTCTCTCAAACAAATGCTGAAGTGTTCTAGTTTGTTTAGTTCTTTATTTGTATTAAAGTTGGCAGGGTTCCGTGATTCTAGTACGTACAATGTAATCTTACTGGGTCAGTCTTCTAAGGAAGACCATAGTGACTGGTCGAAAGCTCTAGGCGAGAGAACTTTTTTGTGTTGGATAAAACGTTTTAACTTTAAACATGTAACTACCAACACAGGTTACTTTCTATAAAGCCTCACATTCCATCTAGTGAAAAAATCCCTTAGCACTTTAGTGTCGCTTGCAATCGACTTAGGTGATTACTTCCAATTGTAATCATGCCTTTTCGGTGTATCTGTGTGTTTTTGGTGGTGGCAACATGATAGATCGTGTTTTAGTCATGAGTCATCACTTTCTGTCAACCAAGGCCCCAAAGGTACCATTAAATCTGCCAGTGACACGCCCTAATTATATAACCACCGTTACTTCTAGTAAAGGGACTATCAAGGTCGATGTGTGATGACGAGTCATGCATTTTAATTTGGCAGCCACCTTAGAAATAGTTTGACGAATTCCTTTACTTCCTATTTCACTCTTGAGTGTAATGATGATATCATCTCTATTTTGATAAAGAAATACATTTGAAACAAAGTATGCCGTAAGACATCAATCAATCAATCAACCAATCAATCAATCAAATGGTTTATTAAAAAAACAACTTGTAGCCATTGGCTAAATCATGTCTTGTACAATTTACGTTATTAACATATCAAAGATTAAATGAAACCATTATTCAATACATATGAAAAAGGGTTAATAACACCACATACATTTATATATGCTTTGTGTATGTAAATGCCGGCTTATTTGTAAAATAGATAAATACCACACTAAGAGCACAAACATGTCTCAACTCGTATACTTTAAATACGTCCATAGCTACGTTGCCACAGCGCCGCCATGCGGCTACTTACGAGATACAAACAAGGGTAAACATCATAGGTCAATTGCTCACAGTAGGCAAATACTTACATGTACACAATACAAATTGATACTAATTACAACGACAAATCTAATATTTTACAAGCCTTTTCAGAGTTGTGAAATTCTGTGTATGTCACCTCTTTGGGGAGACCAATTTGACCTCCAATTTGACCTTCCTGTCAATCTACAATCAAATCATTTCCCTTTGTTCAGCATTACCGTATTGAAAGACTATGAGGCACACAAGCAAAGAAACACGCCGAAAACAAATCTCCGTAGACAAAGGTAGCAATAAATGTTATAATACAGTTTAAAATCATTATTGGATATGCATGCTAAATGTGTGTATAATACAACCAGTAAGTGAGAGTGAACAGTAGAAAACAGAACGGGAATAGTTGACGGGATCTGATATCGATAGAGCACGGTGTTTTCTCCCTGGGCCTTGTGATGGCTGGTTCTTTAAGTTGGGCCGTCTTAGGTCGATCTTCTACCAGGGAAGGATTCTTCTCGGTACTGGGCTTTTGCTCTGCAATGTGTACCTTGCGACAACGCCGCCTAATGATTGGTGGTAGATGCGTAGCTGGGGTTTTCTTCGTGGGTGGCTTTGCAGTGATTTTCGCTGGTCTTGCTTCTCTCTGTTCGTTGTCGCTATCTCTCAGAGTGGTAATCTTGTGATCTGTGGTTGAGGTCTGCTTTTTTGACTGCTCACCTGTAGATGAGTGAGATTTTCCTGCAGGTTGCCGTTTTGGCCCGCCTTCTGTCGTAACATAATTCTTGGGATCTTTCGATGGGATTTGCTCCTCTGAAGCTGGTCTACTAGAGCGCTTTTTGTCATCGTCATCCGTTTTTGCAAGAATCTTTCGATCGGCAGCTGGAATCTTCTCACCAACAGGAACTTTCGCCGGCCGTACTGGCCTCGCCTTCTCTGCTTTACGACCCCTGGCGGAAATCTTACGATCTGCAGATCTTTTGTTGCCACCTGTAGTAGGCCGTTCTGTCGTAGACTTTGTCAGTTTGACCCTTGTCTTTGGTTCATCGTCTTTCTTGGAAACTTCATCCGCCATGCGTTCTTCGATGAACTGCACGGGCTCAACTCTGGATCTCCGTCTTCTAGCCTGTTAACGTGTTCAGGAATATTTTAAAAGAATGCCACAGTGTGGTATTCAAACAATGGCAATCATATCCAGTTATGCTTGCAAAACACAAATATCGGTTTAAAAAATGTGTTTATTGAAATGAACCATAAAGAAAAGAGTACCGTAAAGGACAAAAAAAAGTATATGACCACGGGAATATTTTTGCTGTATATACTTCAGAAGCATTCAGTTTTCAGTTTTATTATTCAATCAACAAAATCATACAAAAGCAGGGAATTGATTTATGTCTTACGTATATTTCTTCTACATTGAAAGATTCTTTAGGGTCCGTCGGTGAAAGTTAGACATCCAGGTACTAAGATACGCCAAAAACATTTACTCAAGCAACTGGATATGATTTTGGAAACGGTCAGACGTTTCAGGTAGCATCCGCTACCTTTCGTCAGTGACACTAAGAGACTGCAGGAGAATTGCAGGTTTAGGGAGTCTTCAGCAACTGAACACAAAGCATTATGCGCGGGATTGTTTAAGAAAAGTCCATACCGAATTTTTCCAGTGCTTCTTGATGTCTGCCTTCTTGCCGTCTGTACTGTGTAAGAAGTGCACCACTGCGAACTCTAACGTCACCAGCAGGGCGAAAACGAGGCAGCCGATGTGCCAGATGTCAATTGCCCGGATGTAGGATATCTGCATTGACAAACAGTCCACAATCAAATTACATGTAGTCGGCTGAACGTATTTTGCTCGCTTAGTCTTGAGCCATTGGGCTACATTTACTTTTTAGTTTTTTTTAATAAACTTACAATGCATCTTAAATTTAGATTACCAACACATGTCTGACGATATAAGTTTGATTTCAAAAAAAGTTTATAGTGATTCAAATATAACAAAAGCTAGGTTCAGATTTGAATAAATCAGCAATATCGAATGTGAATAAATGAATAAATAAATAACTTTATTATATATTGTAAATATAATGACAAATAATGAACATTTTATCATCCACCTTTATAAATACCTACATTTATATTATATAACTGTATATGTCTATAGGTATTCATAAAGGTGGATAATCAAATGTTTTATATTTCATAATGACGACAAAGTGAAAAAATATGAAATATCACCAAGCATGTTCAGTTATTACGATATACTCACGTGTGGCATCCGCATAGTCTGGCTCCCCAGGCGGATGAGCATCAGCAGGGTAGTACTGCCGATGGCGACCCGTGCAGACGCCTCGCTGAAGTGGATCCAGAAAGACGACCAGGACACGACCACTACTGTAGTGGTCGGGATGAAGGTTTGTAGAACATAGTAGGGAAGTCTTCTCTGGAAATGGAACCTCACTTCAATGGTGGAGTACACGTCTGGGGAGCCACCTGATAATGGGACAAACACTGGGTTGGGTTTTATGTGTCGGGAAAAGGTTCCAGAATTTCCCGAAAAGGTAAATCGGGTGAAATCTCCGATTTCTCTTTAAAGTTTTCAGTTGGTTCTACGTACGAGATCAAAGAGGGCCATGGAAGGAGTGTATTGAAAAAATTCCAAAGCTGGAACATGTTTAAGAATACACAATTTCATAGACATCAAATTAAAGATTACAGAAGCAAACGTAAAATTCTAAAGTAAAGTTGACCTTACATGATATCGATATTCGTAATCTTTTGAAATGTCATTGGAAATTACAAATGTGGAGGCAATTTATAGAATTTGTATTTCAAGGTTAATTCATTTCGAAGCTAATTTACATTTTAAGAATATTATGAAATACCATTGTTTTTGCCTGTGGCAGATGAACATTCAAAAGAAGTCGTTATTATAAAAACGTTTGCATTGTATTGTCTGTATCGTAATAATATATCAAGTGTTAATAAGTAAAGGTACCATATTTTGTAAGGTTGCAGTCCATGGGTACTTCTGTGCAAGTTCCAGAAAACGCTGAACATTTCTTACAGACCGGGTCTCTGGTATCACAGAAACGCAGGTACGGACACGTGTCTGCACTCTTACCCAGCATGCACCTCTGGTGGAAGAAGGTACAACCTATACCTGCAGGAACCGGAAATGATGTCAGAGAATTTAATTAGATGCGTCTGGACCTATATGCTGCTTTCAAAAAGAAAACATCTATCATCATGTTAGGGGAATACAAAATGTAGTTTTTAAGATACATCCAGATGATTTATACCCATATAAGTATAATGCATGCATATTATCCGCGGATTCGGATGTGTCGATGAAGGTTAGACATCCAGACATCCATTCAAAATCATATCCAGTTGCTTGAGTAACTGTTTTTTGGCATTCGGATGTGTACATTTGCTATATACATTTGAATATGCGAAACGGAACAAAAGAAAAATGCTGGAAATTATTCACATTTATTAAATTAAAAGATATACAGAACAACAACGCTTAACTTAACTCCTTGTTGTCAAATAAAGAGTACTACGTATACTGACCGTCTTGTCTTTTTGACGCCACAGTTCCCAACAGTTCTGTCTCTCGGAGGACAAATTGTGAATCCGCTTCAGTTAGATCAAGAACCATCGGGCTTCTTCCACCAGGCACACGGCTGATTTGAAACACGATGCCCCCGACTACAATCCGGAACAAAATGTAGGTAAAGAAAATCTAACTACATTTCGCATGAGGAAATTCCTTACTTTACAACTCGAATATATGGGCAGCTTTATCTTTATGGTCATACATTTTTATAGTCATACATGGCACTCAAAATCCAGACTTACATCCTTGTAGCTGTAAGCTGCACGTCTGTTTGTCAAAAGGATAACTGCGCAGATCCAGGCGACAGAATACGCTCAACTTCCGCCTATATTTCAGACAAAAAAATACAATGTACATAGATTAGTTGATAAGGTGTTACTAACAATAATTATCTTCTGCCCGCCTTTAAGACGGACATTTATTACAAGTTCAGATCTTTGCTATTCAATCTTTCACCAAACTGACATTATGGCTGTTCTCAAACTGTCAATTAATATATAAAACTTACCTGATTGAGTGGCTGATCTGGCCGTCAGGAGACAGCCATGTTGTCATGGTCCCCTCTTCATCCCTGGTACCTTTTCCTTGCGAGGATCTAGAGATTACGTACCAGCTGGCTCGCACCTTCTTGCCAAACTTCACTGACGGAAGCCACAGAACATGTGCCGGCACGGGGATCCACGTCCTGCCGCCCAGGTTAGCCAGGCGGGGGTCGGTCCAGGCTACCGTGAAGGTGGCAGTCACGTTGAAATTCTGGAGGTTCAAAATTTGTTTGTGAGTCTTAAGCTTTCCAAGTTTAGGTTAAGTGGCCGTGATTACGGGATGGTCTGAACAGAGCAGATGGACCACAAGAAATTACGATAAACAAAACATGCAAAAAATTTCCACATTCTTATGTCATATTAATGCTGGAGTGTTACACGTCCTCTCTCCGTAAATGGTTAGAATATAAACAATACACAAAAGTGCACACGTGTACTCAAACCGTGAATCAGCGGTGAATAAACAAAACTACCCTACCATTGTTTCCTCTGACAGCCAACCAAAACTGTCAATCTTTACTCCTGAAGATGTCGGCAGAAGTTTACCTAGTAGTAAGATTTTTCAGCAAATTGGGGTAAGTAAAGATTTCTCAAAAAGACAACATCAAACTAAAATACAATAACGTATTAATTCGTAAACAATTAACGCATATCTACCTTTCTGCATGTCGATTGGGCTCTCCTTGGCGTTATATGATTCCGGCAGCGCCTCTCCTGTTTCCCATCGCCGGTATTCCTCCATAGTTCCACCGTCGGAGGGGACCAGTGGGTCTTTAGAAGTGAAAAAATCAATCAGTGATAATAAAATTGAATATATAGAAATGTAGCAAATGAATTTCGGGTGTCTGTATTACAGTTACTGTGATTTTAGGAACCAGACCAAATGGTCAAGTGTCAACGGACAAATTCAATATTTTAACAAATAATGCAGGTTACATGTACACACATTAAAACGATCGCAAAGTGCGTTGTAGGATAACGTATTCGTAAGTAGCTAGACTACCTGGCGAAGGTGTTGTCCATTCTGTTCCTGTTTCAGTAGGTCCTGTTGTCGACGTTGATGCATCTTCAGAAGTAGGCACTTTCCAAGGTTGCAAAATGGAGAAAAAATTAGCTCGCTGTTTTATACCTATCTAAATTTTATGACCTTCGTGATACCATGTGAGTAAATATATGCTAATAAAGAACTGGTGAATTGAAATAATGAATGTTTTTACTTGATAAAGTCCGATTGCTTGTTGGGTTTTCAAAAGTTGAAGCTTCAGTCGACGTAGCTGTATAGAGAACAAGAATTTATTATTATAACAAAACTGCTTATATTATTAGCTGCACATGTTAGAGCACTATACAAAATATAATTGGTTAGATATAATAATATCCGCAAAAAGATATGAGGAAGCGTTTACTAACAGTAGTGACATGAAATGAATGAAAATGAAACATTAACAATCTCACATTAACCAAAATTTGAATAGTTCTTTCCACACGCCAAAAAACACTTACTCAAGCAACTGGATATGATTTTGATTATGATTTCAAAATCATATATGAACTGGATATGATTTTGATTATGATTTCAAAATCATATCCAGTTGCTTGAGTAACTGTTTTCGGCGTATCGTATTACCTGGATGTCTAACCTTCATCGAAGTTCTTTCCACACTTTGAACTACCATACTTACAAAACAATATCAAAACGTTTTCCTAAGTTATTTACAAAATCAAGTAAAAGTATTCATGATCCAACTTTTACTGTATCCAGCAATCGAACCATTACCTGTGCACACGCTTTGGGGCTCACACCATCCGTCCATGGTGCAGCATGGGAAATATTCCGGATGGCACTGCGCTACCGTCGCACCCGGTGCCGGAAAAACGGTGCCACATCGACCGTCTTCTCTCCACAGCGATTCCGGATCCACACAATACACAACTTCACTGGCCCGGGGAAAATCAACGCACCAAAATAGATTTTTAACCACTGATGCACCAATCACGTCAACACAACTTTTCCTAACCCGCCTGCAAAATTCGTAACATGGCGGATACGTCCTTCCCGACACGCACTGCGGCACGACAATGGAGAAAACAAGATGGCGGATATGTGGATGACAATTATCATTCGCCAGAGTTCTAAAGGCCTCTAATTCTGTTGGCGAACTCCGCAGCTCTGATTCATTCTGGTGCCCTGCATAGTTTGGAAACTTTGTCATGTTGTACGACAGGGCCAGGCCTACATTGGGGCTAACAGTAGAACATTCTGAAAAGAAAAAAAAATTAAGCATTAGTATCCGCTCCATTTTTCCTTCTTTGTAGGGGGTCACTTAATTATAAGGACTCATCATCAGTAACTACATACAAAGACAACTATTTTTTTTTTTCGTGTAAATGGATAGAGTATAAATTGCCTTTTGTACAATTTTCATACTCTTGTATCGTGCTTGTCTACGGTGAATCGAACAGTTTAAAGTGGTACCTAAGCCATACAGCTAGCTTTGGAAGATAACAAAGAATACGGCACAGGTTTCCGATAATAAGATTGATCGGGAATTCATCATCATCGATCACTTACCTTCGTCACAGATTTCCAAGGATCCGTATTCTGTTTTCCAGGTGCGGAAACCGACAAAGCGGATCGGCAGTGGATCGGGGTCTGAGAACTGCATGAACGGGGTTACATCGCCCTCCCTCCCGACTGCGATTGTTCCGTTCAGCGTCCAGGAAATCCAAAACCCCTTGTATTGCGTTGGAGATAGAAATCCTTAAAGAAAATTATTGTTGTTCGTGATCGAATATCAATAAATAATATGAAATATAAGGAAATAATACTTCAACCTACAACTGGAAGGCAATAGTTAAACTTGGGCTCAGAATCGATAATCTTCAGTTCCATAATAAGTTGGAGACTTGTTTTTCGGGATAATCAAAGGAAAGCTACATGTAGTAAGACTTGAATACTGTCATCTAAGAAAGGCAGTTTACTATATCAAAAGTCTCTTACCGGTAGCAAGAACTTCTGCAGTGATCCGGTTCCAATCATTTTTCCTAATGAGGGAGTGTGTGTTGCCAATGGTAATTATGTACTTTTCTGGCATCCAGTAATTGCGACTAGATAGAAGGACATTGACGTGGTATGTAGCCTGTACTTTAAACTTTACTGGAGACGATGCAGGTGGGTTATTGAAGGTGTCAGATAGTCCCCGGTTCGTGGCAAACGTACGACAAACTGCATGGAAACAATCGATTAAAAAGACGATCAATTAGAGGTCACAGATTCTATGCAGCTCTCTCTTTTTTCTATTTCTGTTTCTTTTTAAGCTGAAGCAAGCCGTGCATTAGTGTGATTCAATTCTTTAATGACTAATATGAAAATATAGTATCAATAAGATACAAACAACCTGCAGTGTCATTTTTTAAAGATGTATAAATGATTTTCTTTTGAAAAAAATGGACAGACAAAAGCAGGAATTTGCCATATGAAGACTTGTGTTCTACAAAATACGTACCGTTGCTGGTCTCACAACAATATCGCGCTTCGTAGTCCTCACAGATGCCATCGGCCTGATCGCTGTTCTTGCACACGATGCCGGAGGTCGGACCAAATGCTTCGAACAGCTCTCCGGTCAGCAGCGCCCCCATGCGGGTCCCGTGCACACGGGCATGAATCCCAACAGGCGTGGCACAGATCTGCCCAGGGTGCTTCGTCTGAAGATCGGCCAGGTCTTCTCTATCATAATTGCCTAGAGGATTGTCTTTGTCGAACCAAGCTGTCCAGGAGGTACAGGCTGAAGATAAGAGAAAGGCACCAAACATATCAGTATTTCAGCAAAGAAGCATCTTTCAAGGTACTGCTATAGGAAACACGTTTTTCTTTTAAAATAGAACTTTTAATCGGTAAAGCAATTTTTCCATGGTGGATGCGACCTAAAACAAAATTATGCACTTACTTTCTGCTCGCACGCCAATGACGGATTGTTCTGATTCATCAGACAATGGGCCAGTTGCTATCTCGGTAGATGTTGATTCTGCAGTTCTTTGTGCTGCGGTTGTCGGTCCTGCAGATGCCGTTGATGTGGTAGGTGTCGCTGCAGATGATGTTGTCAATGCGGTGGTTGATGGATCTGTTGTCAGCACATCTGTTGTTACCACTACAGTACTTACTAGTACATATGTTGTCTCCATAGGCTCGGTAGTGATATCTGTGGTTTCTGCTGACGTCGTCGTTGGACTCGGTGTTGATTCAACTGGCGATGTATCTGATGCTATTGTCGTCATCTTTGCAGCTTCAGTTTCGTAGGCTGTTGTCATTGCCGCCTCAGTTGTATCACTTTCCAATAATTCAATGGTAGTTTCAAAGTCTGTAGTCAATTCTGAATTCTGGGTAGTCATATCCGTTGTTACTATAGGTGATAGTTGGGATGTTGATGATTCCTGTGTCGTCGTTTCTAAAAAAAGTAAGTCAAATGAGTTGCGATCTACTCATGTAGGTGTATGTCGCTGCGTTGATGTTATACCTCTTAGTGTTGTACAACAGCAATAAATACACGATGGTCAGATTTGGGCCCAAAAGTCCCACTCCGCTACTATGGAGATCGAATCCCCCGAACCCGCGAATCTTGTTCGATATGACGTCATTCGAATAGAACGGGCGTTCGATCCGGGGTTACCCGCGGTCATTTACAGTAAAGCCGCTACAACCGGCTACTTCAAGCCCTTTTTTACTTGGAAACCACGGAACAGGAAAAATCCACCTTTCCACAAATATGAACCGTTTTTAAAACATTACATCTATGCCGTGATTTTATTGTGGATATGTAACAAGTAACGAAGCTACTGCCGTCATCGTGGGTGACCTTGAAGGTCAGAATTCTTGTTGACGCTGTTATAAAATCCAGGTCCCCATATCCAAGTGGCACAGCATGCGTGCAAACATGGTATTTTAACCGTTCCCAAAAATCGCTCAAATTACCTCATTGAGGGCTTGTTTGGAAGAGGAACGATTTCCGCAGATTTCTGTCTTAGGGATTTTTTAAATATGGCCGCGATTATGAATTATCGGTATTTAAAGTTAAAACACTGCGTTTTTAGCTCTTCTTTTGACTGTAAGTCGAGTTTTAGTTAAAAAATTAAAAAATCCTAAGACAGAAAGTTTAAATTTACTGTAATAGTTCTAAAAATCCAAAAATCTAACCTTATTTTTAATTTTCGGGGCCTCTTAAAATCAGTTGTTTGGTTCTCGTGAACCCTTTTTGAAATCCGAAATTGATCTCATTTGGAAGCAAATGTACACAAAGTGGAGCAAAGGCAGTGCAAGAATAACATTTGAGGTAAAAAAAATCACCTATTACATTTTATTTTGACGAGTATTTACTCTCCAATTACTTTTGTTTATTTTCAAATTTTACCCGTTGCCCCCGGGCCGGCCTGGGACTCCCGCGCGGCCACGTTCGAACACGTTCTGTAACCCGATACCTCCCTAGTAATGCGACTTTTAGCCTAGCAACCGACCGCCGTGATAAAACAATCCGCGTATATTAATGCAAATATTGTCGTAGCTCTTTGTCAAATTGCATGAATTTGGAACAGCACATCAGCTATTTGTCTAGAAAGCGACTTTCAAAACAAAACAATATCTTACCGAAAGCAAAGCAGCTCACGGTCAAAACTTTATCCACGGAACAAAGTTCCAGTTCCCAGGGGGAGTGTTTACATTCTGCAAGGGATACTTCCAGCGAGTTACAGTCCACGCCTCTGAGCCAACTGGGTTGAGACAAGTTTTCTGGTATCTCATTCGGTGCACGGGTCGTTACCTGTCCCCAATCCAGTCCTAGTCCCATGCACACCACTTGGGCAGCTAAGAAGTTCATCATGTCATAATCTGGGTGTCGGCACACTTTTGCCCAGGTATTGTTGTAAAAGATTTCCACCTGCCCAGCATCGCTCGTGTGTCCCACTAGCCGCGTCGCTCCAACTGTACCTGAGGATGTAGAAATCAACAATCTCTCAACATGACACATTACACCATCGCAGTAGTTGTCTGCGGCAAAAACCTCGAACAAATTAGAGTATTTACAATGAAAAATACAAAATGTAAGCAATGCTATATAGATACACCACTTGTCTCCATTTGCCATTTATTGCTTGCTATTATGCAACTGTATATGGATGAATACACACACACACACACACACACACACACACACACACACACACACACACACACAGAGAGAGACACACACACACATGCACAAGCACACACACGTGCACATACATGTATATACACACGCATACATTCATAAAGCTCATTATAGTGTTCACTATTAGAACTTACCGTTACACAAATTCCCTGCTTTCCTTACGTGAGTTGAGTTCAGAGCAATTTCGTATATCTGAAGACACGAGATCCTTCCGTTAAACGGATATCGGTCATTGCTGACAACAATTCTCTTCACCTGTATGTTCAAGCTGCCGACCTGCCCCTCTATGACTGGCACACCATTCACCCACAGCCGCGCGACTTGAGTGTTAATGTCGTAGGTGAGAACGACGAATATCCATTTCTGAAGGAGTATCGCGTTTCTAGCGGACAGCTTGAAGTCACCGCTTGGGAAGAAGAAACTGGGGGGAAATAGAATGTTATGTATGATGATATTCGTCGTTGATCGAATTACGATTTTGATGCCCTAGAACGCTATGACTACAGATTTACTAACAAGGAACCAACCCCGATATTTCGGTAGAAAGATATCAATTTTGTATTACCAAGAACTATGATCATTCGTTATTGTACGACGATTTTACGAAAGCCATCAGGCCATTTTGTATTGTGGAGGGATACCATTAAAAATCAAAAGCAAAGCCAATGGCGTTTATTAATTTTCAACACTATCTTTAGAAAATATCCCTGTATTGTTACAATCAACATACATATTAATCTAGTTTAAAACGTACATTGCGTCGAGGTCCGTATTGTTGAAAATGTTTATCTTCATTTTTATCTCTCCTTGGTTGTTCAGAGCAGTCATGACGTGATTCACAGAGCTTGAAGCCTCTGGATAGACCAATAGAGTAACCGAGAACGTTGAAATAGTATCTGAGGGCATGTCGATGATCAGGTACGGCGCGTTGGTAGTGAATGTGATTGAGCCTTCAGCGATGCCGCCAACTCCCTCCGCGAACTCCAGGTTATCGGTGAAGCTGTGAACCGCATATCCGCCAATATCTTTCCCCCTCAGATAACCATTTAAGGGCCAGAAGAAGACAGGATACGGTTTTTCCGTTTGGACTGTGCAAAAACATAACATTGAATCTAAGTACTATTTGTAGAATGATGCATAAAGTTATCCAAAGATGATTTCTTAATGTTGTGTCGGGAAATTAATATTATGAACTGTCCAGACAAAATTGTTAACATTTTCCGCTAACAAAGAAATAGGTAAAATACAAACTTACAGTTATAACAAAATGTTGACAATGTATGAGTCTGTATTTCACTTCAGTCTCTATATTTTAAATTCTTTATTGACGCAACAAAAAAGTACAGAGACTTTTGTATGGTCTTCTACAACTTAACTAAAGATCTAACAAAGCTAAATACATGTGTGGATAACGTTATCTTACGTACAGAGTATATGTATGATGTAACAATAAAGGTTAACTATTCTCTAACATGTGTTCTCTAAGATCGAAACATTCTTTAATGTATTTTCCTATTTGAACACTGTATTAGTTATCTCCCCTGAGAATGTAGTTGCATTTATCTATAGGATCTAACGTATTGAAATCAACTGAACAAGCGGAAAGATAGGTGAACAACAATAGGCGCTTATCATTGTAGAGTGTACAGTCCATTATAAAATAAGAGCAACACTTACCACATGAGTAGTTAAGGCTCCATCCAGAATGAACGATTGAATAGTCAGTTTCAAAGACGAGGTAGGCTTCGTTGGTTTTGCCGAGGTATGGATCGCCGTTGCTTGGCAAAAATATTAGGTGATTTATACAGCATACATCATACGCATTTTCAATAACAGTGGATAAAACTACATATTGACTACAGGCTGACCAGACGACATTTTGAATAACGAGAAAGATTATTTTTGTACCTTTGTAATGCCATTGATATTGATTTTAGCTTTTACCTGGGGGAAAGATGAAGGATTCTAAAAATTGATACATGTTAGAATTTTAAAAATATATATAAGTTATCAATTTAGTATATCTACTTCAGTACATATCCCAAAGTGCAAAGTCACTAAGGTATTTGTATTTTCTTCTTGTCTATTGAATTGGATGAATCATTCACATTTTAAACGAAACCAATGTACAATTTGCCGTTCATTTGCTAGATGTACAAATTTTACAATCAAAATGTAAAATTGATTTATTTCAGTTACAAGAAAAGAATACTTACAGTTTTGTATGCAAGGCCCCGTCCACTATCCATAGCTCATCAAAATATTCGACGTCCCATGCGTTGAATTCTATGTCGATGAGCTCACCAACAGGGCAAGTGATGTTGTTGCCACATTCCAAGTCATTTTCATACTCATTAGGGTAGTTTTGACTCACAATGACTCCGCCTGGTCCCTTGTATAGTACATCACAATAATCTGGAGAGAAACGGACACTATTTATTTAGATGGACTAAGGCTTCGCCGAAGCGATGTAATAAATGAAATTCGTCGGAAGTACCAAAAGTGAGAATTCCCAAATAAAATAAAATTAAAAAGATATAATTAACTCACCACGAAAAATATTTTAAACGATAAGTTTATCTATTTTAAGTTGACCTTTGTTAGTTCATCTTTAATCTTTAGTTATAATGTCATGTAGTTTTGTTGGGGTTATCCCCCCAGGAATCTTTGAAAACCGCCAATAGGCGACATGTATTTCCTGGTTAAATAAATAAACAAACAAATAAATAAGTAAATTAACAAAAATTTACAAAAAATAAAGACACAGAGGATAGAACAACACGTATTCTAGATGTATAAATTAATGATAGATGGGACAGCCAGCTGTCTGAAGATCAAATAAATAAATAAATGAAATAGATAGATAGATTGTCACATGTCCAAGTGTTTGTATCGTTCTTACTGGACGCGATGGGTCATATTTTCATTATTTTTTAAAACCAACAAAAATATAGCAAATTTGTGAATCACCTGGTGAATAATTTTGCCGATCGTACATACTGGCGTCTGCGCTATAGACTTTCTCCTCGGCAGAGCAAAGCTTGCTTTTTAAAAAGCATTGTAACGCGGTGTTGTGGTAGAACGACAGGCATGCCGGGACTCCGCAGCACAGCTCCGCACAGGATTGGACAGTAACGTTCCCATGGTAACGTATGTCAGATAGTGGGCAGTCACTTTGGGGGACCTGGTGAAACGTCTGGAGGTCACACGTACCTAAAATGAAGGAACTCGGCTCTTAGTTGTAACATAAGTACGTATTTACTAGTATCATGCTATCATTTGTTCTGTTTGAATGTCCCTTATACGCCTGAAGGATTAAACATAATCTTTTCAAGGACATTATAAGTAATCCTGTCAATTTCGAGACCCTGTTCCTATGTTCACGACTTGAATATAGCTATTAATATAAATGGGAAGAAGAGATAAGCGTATCAACCGTTTGTTCTGTGATGTCCGATAGTATTTTATCTGAGTTTATCTTACAAGATACGGTTGAAAAGATTTTTGAACAATAGCCCGGCTGGATTTAGTGTGCCTTTTGGTGTCATTATAACATGCACGCAACCAACTTACATGGTAATGCTCAAAGGCTGGTTAGATAAGTTCTGTTATCATACAACACGTTCTGTTTTGGTCTTATTTGTTATCATATAGTTGCTTTGCGTAACACCACATAGTCCTTTCTCTGTGTGTTCTCTGAGTAAAGTTACCATGCAACACAGGTGTTGAGGTATACGTAACAGTGTAGTGTTTGACGAAAATATTTTTTTTTTACATTTTAATTTCTTGATTTCTTAAATATCTTGTCTATAATTCTAACCTCATTAAACTGACCGGAGTTTGATGCGGTGATACCCAAACCTGTATCACGTTTTCTTGCAACGACAGAATATTTCATTTCGTCATGACACATCCATTTCAGTTTAAAAAAATGCTGTTGTTTCGATGTTGAATGCACAAAGCAGGCTAGGTGTTCTTATGGTTGGGCTATTTTGACTTAGAATACAAAGGACCTGGATATGAATACCTCTCAGTACAAAGGTGGCAAAAGTACACGTGACTACACACGTCTTGCTAATTTCCTCATTTTTCATCTATCAAGCTTCTTTTGGACGTATTGATCCCTCTAAAGCTAGTAGGCCAGCTTTCTTTTGTAGCCAAGTCGTATCATTACGAATGTCTGGGTTTGAATTTTGTAGGCGTCAATATTTTGACCTAAACACCATAAATGCGAAACAAAATTTACTATTGAAATGGAACTTACCTTGGGATCCGACAAAGCAGGGCAAACCAGACAGCACAAAAAGGATGCAGAAAACGTGTCCATGCATCATTTTACGTCTGGTCAGACAGGTCATCTTGTCACGATGCCGTCTGTAACTGGAATGCATTCCGAACAACTTCGCGGGGTTTAGATGCATTAGATTTCCATACAGCATCAATATTCATTAGCCCTGTACTTCCTTTATTCTTGTTGTGAATCGGAGCGTGCAAGTAGAAAAGAAAGATCCAACAAAACTGTCAAAAGCATCTGTTATATCTGTTATATATATATATATATATATAACTATACCATTCTCTTTGATATATATTGAAGTACAAATTATGTCTTTGTACTCCGTACACACCCACGAAAAATACTTAAGACAGTAATGCCACCATCGATAAGCATGAACTACACAACAATTATTACATTCGTGCTTCAATATTGGCTTTCGAGAAATAATTGATAATGTGTACCCTCAGTATTAAAACCTGGGATCTTCACGGCTTATATTAGCAAATTGCCATGCTTTTGTACGGAAAAAATACAAGGTTTTCTTTTGTGTGCGAGGTTGAGCCAATTCAGGGCAGGATTTCAAGACATGATGCGTTTTCACGCAACCATTTATAGATCCAGACTAACAGATGATCTAACAAAAGCCTGGGTTTAACAGGTAACACCATTTTTGCTATCTGATTTGACAAAAGAGTCTGGAGTCTGTGTCTCCCTGTGTCGTCCTGTATGTCGCTGATCTAGACATTAAAAAGGACACTAATTATTAGTTGTATTATATAGGACGTAAGGACACCAAGCGGGGAGGAGATGAATTGCATACACAAAATTCAATTCCTCTTTTGACGAATACAATGCATTAAAATACTTACTTAATATATGTAATATCAATTATGACATAGGAGGGGCCATGATGAATTGTCCTTAGAAACTTAGACAGACCGTAAACAATTTGCTAATCCTGGAAAATCAATTGTAGAGTCATGTAAATGCATTCTGAAAGGCCATCACAATTATGAAATTCGTAAAGCAATAACTCAATTAAGAATCAGTAGCCATAAATTGAATATTGAAACAGGTAGATATTACAATATAGCCCCCGACCAAAGGTTCTGTCCATTTTGTCCAAAGCATATAGAAAATGAATTTCATGTTGTTATGGAATGTACCAAATATGATGTTATACGTAACAAGCTATTTACATTTCTCGAATCAAGTACCATAGATTTTAAGAGTCTCGATGTTGGAGACAGATTTGAATATATCTTTACATGTAATGGTCCCCACAATGCAAAAATAGGTAGATATATAAAGGAATGCTTTGCTATTAGAAAAAATACTGAAACTTGTGATTAGCCCACTTGATTGTAACACTTTATCAACGACTTGTGATATCCCTTATTATTTGAATGATTATGATATAGATATGTTAGGTTTTTTTATTCGACATTAGGTCTTATTCAACACACTTATTTTATTGTTTTTACTCTCTTTATGTAGTTTGCCATACAATGTACCATGTGCATTTGTCGTGCAATAAAGTTCTTCTATTAAACAATTTTGCCTTCCATATCACCTGTACCTGGTACTTATTCAGCCTTAATTGATTCAAAATAAAACATGCATAGAATGGACATCGAAACACCATAATATGTAAAATATACAATACATGAAAAAAAAAACGTCACAAGCAATCTATATATATATGCTCCCCCATTAGGTATTGAAATATCCTGGTTGTCTTTTTCATATAGCTCTATATCCCTGTCAGAGAGAGAAGAGAGAGAGAATCCCTCCGCTTTTTAGTACAGTCCGACATGAAAAATTGATAGAAACCACCATTTCTTTATCCCTCCTATGTATTTTGTTAATTTTCACATCTGTGCATGTATATGCCAATGTTGTATCTATGCAGTTATACCCCCCTCCCAATACACACACACACACACATTGGTTACAACTAAAGGAAGATCAATGGGGGACCTCATGCATGTTTGATGATGCGAAGAACAAGCTTTACTCCCAGTAAAGCCGGGATGCTTGCAAAAGGCTACACGTCTAAGGGCCTCCCAGGTATGAGTATGGGCGAAATGGCCCAGAAAATGGAATTTCACGCCATTGCAGGCAAGATTTACCTTCTATGGGCAATGAATCCGTAAAACATGTTTACAATATGTTGTCAGATGGCTACTCCGGAAGGCAGGGGGGACCTAATGAACTCCCAACAACATTTTAGTCAAGAAAAATATAGTAAACTTATAAAAATGTGTAGATTTGTCCCTTATTTGGCAAAGTGCAGCTGCATAGATGAAGACATATAATCACATATACTAGATTTATTGTCAACACTTGCGGTGTTGCACATAAATCAAACAGACGTTATCGGGTGTACTTATGCTCGATAAACACTTTGCATTAAACTGCATTGAAGATATGGAAGATATTGTTTTGCCAGCTATTGAATGAAAAGGATGCTTGATAAAGGAAACTTGCTTTTCCTTTTTTATAAACAGTAATCTTTGTTTTGTAATCACAGAAATGTGTAGTTGCATACGTAGGATTCAATACTTAAACTGTTGAATACTAAATGAAATATGTCCGAGTATCATTATTAATAAAAGTTGTAAAAAAACTGCTGAAGGCAACACAGCAAAAGATTTTATCAACTATAATTTCAATTTCTGGTAGTCAATTTTCAAGAGGTTCTCCCAAATTTGAATATCCTTTTTTACGTATATCTTGTAAAAAAGACCATTGACAATAGAATACTTCACGACTGTATATTTCAAATGTGACAGAATACTGCAAGAGACGAATGGCCTTTATTTGATTTGCTGGTGTCAGGGCCTTTAAAAGATTGATGCCCTTTCATATGGGCATACATAAATATATCTTTGCCCCTTAAGTGGATGCTTGGTATTCCTCTCATATTTTGCCTCTGTGGCGCTCAAAATGACCCGAATACATAACGGCACAGGCGACATCTTAATGCAAGGTTCAATATCCATAAAATCTGGAAAACGCCTCCGGCTTTAGAAATTTCTCCAGCTCTTTCTACAACACCCTATTCCCGGATCCTTGCGTGTTCCATCACTGCTTTGTTCGAACAGTCAATGTCCTATCTTTCTCCGATAACCTT